TTGGGATGGGTGTCCCCTTGGGATGGGTTCCCCCTTGGGTAGGTGTCCCCTTGGGTAGGTGTCTCCTTGGGATGGGTGTCTCCTTGGGATGGGTGTCCCCTTGGGATGGGTGTCCCCTTGGGATGGGTGTCCCTTGGGATAAGTTGTGCTTTGTGTGATGGTCTTCCTTCTTGTGCTGACAGCTGAAGAAGCGTGCCCTAGGGCTGGTGAGGCCCAAGCCTGCAGGGGGCGCTGCAGGAGACTCAGCAGAACAGCTACCGGCAGAGCTCTGTTCAGGTGAATCTGAGGGAATGGGGAGTATCCCCACTGCTGAGGTGCTCAGTGTGCTTCTGAGCAGTGCTGGTTTAGAGTGGGGACAGTCTTGAGGAACAAGACTCTTGATGGTGGAATGAATTGAAGGCAACCCATTGTCAGGTGCTCACACACACACACACACACACACACACACACACACACACACGTCTCTGACGAGGGTTAATACACCAACAGGGGCTGGGAAGGTGTGACTGGGCTTGGGGTGGCTAGAGGAAGTGACCTGGGCCTGATGGCAGGAGCATGGCTTTGAGCTGCAGGCAGAAGCCCTAACACTGCAGGCAGCTACAGTAGGAGCACAGTACAGGCAGATGCTGTGTTCTCCCCAGGCCCTCAGGCAGTGCTTTTATCACCACTGGGAGGATGTGGCCTTTGCCTGGGGATGTTGGGAAGTCAGCAGTACTTTGAAAGCAGGGAGTCATGTGATCCAATTGGTGGTTGGAAGCCTCTCCCTAAGTGCGGAGCTGGGAGTGGCCTGTAAGGGGGCACATCTGAGACAGAGTCAGAAAGATGCCTTCTGAATCACAGCCCCCACCATGTCTGTGTGAGCACAACAGGACTTAGGGAGGGAAACTAGGTGGCAGAAGAGGATGGTGGTTTTAAGTATCCCATGCAGCCCTACATCTCTTCTATGTCCCTCTTCTCTGCAGAGCTAGAGCGAAGCCTTAAACCCTACAGCCTGGTGCGTCCACTACTGGTGTCTGCCCTGCGGCCTGTGGTGCTCCTGCCTGAGTGCCTGGCCCCCCGGCTCATCCGCAACCTGCTGGATCTGCCCAGCTCCAGGCTGGATTTCCAAGTGTGCCCTGCAGGTGAGTCTGCCACCTGGGTGGGTGAGTGGATTGGTGCGGGGTGGAGGAGCGCTGGATGGCACTGGGCAGGTGAGGCTGTGGCCCCTTGTCCTTCATGTCCTTGTTCTTAACAGAAAGTTTCTCTGGAGAGGAACAGTGCACATCTTCAGCTCCCGGAGCCCCCAAGGCCTGGCCTTCCACCCCAGGGCTGGGCAACAGGATCCGTGCCATCCAGGAGTCCGTTGGGAAGGTAAGTACTAGAGGGGTTTAGGCTGCCATTTGGGACCTGGAACCAGCATCTGGGCCATCCCTTAGGCTCCTCAGTGTCTTCCCCTTACTGGTTGGATTATGATCATGGCTCTGAGGTGTGGGCTGGTATTTCTTACCTGACATCCTTGTTTCTGAACTATCATTGTTCTGTTTGCTGGCTGGGGCTGCGGGGAGGTGGCTGAGGGGGCGGAGTGACAGTTAAGATCCAGGTCCAGAGGGACCTGCATGAGCCTGGGTCTCCAGTCTGCTTTGGTTCTTTGCTGATGAAGCAGGACTTTCTCCTGGGAAGTAGTGACAGGGTGGGTGCAATGGGGAGGTGGTCCCAGGAGTAAGGTGTCTGTCTGTGCTCCGAGAAGAAGCACTGTCTGTTGGAGCTGGGTGCACGGGGCGTGAGAGAGTTGGTGCAGAGTGAGGTCTACCCCATCGTCATCCATGTGGAGGTGACTGAGAAGAATGTTCGTGAGATCAGGTGAGTGGTGGCCTTGTGTTGGCACCCCTGTGGAAGCCTCTGGCTCTGCATCTGATTGTCATCTTTCTGTCCATCTGTGTGTGCATGTTTGTATTGTGTGTGTGTGTGTATTGTGGGTATTTATCTTTAGACAGGGTTAGGTCTGTAACATGGGTCCATATTTTGTGTATCACGTGCATGTATGTATCAGGTATATGTACCATGTGTCTCATACATATGCACATATTGTATGTGTGTTGTATGTGTATCATGTGTATTGTGTATGTATATGCTCTGGGTTTGTATTATGTGTATCATGCATTGTAAGTGTATCTTGTCTATCATGCATATATGTGGCCTTCATGCCATATGTATATTAGGCATGCCACACGTAATATATATTATATATTACATGCATATCATGTATCATATATATTGTGCTTTTGCTATTGTATTGGGTATCAGTGTGTACTAGTGTGTGATATATGTGTTGTCTGTCATGTGTGCATATACTATGTATCATGTGCATGTATCATGTATGTATTGTGTGTGTGTACACGTTGTGAGCAAGCATATGTGCACATGAGTGGCCTGCTCTGATTGCCACCCTTCTCTACAGGGGCCTGTTGGGCCGGCCTGGCTGGCGAGATTCAGAGTTGCTTCGTCAGTGCCGGGGCTCAGAACAGTGGCTCTGGGGATTGCCATGTTCCTGGGTACAGGTGCCTGCCCATGCATGGGGCCACGCAGAGGAGCTGGCCAAGGTGGTGCGTGGCCGCATTTTGCAGGAACAGGCTCGCCTTGTGTGGGTGGAGCGAGGCAGTAGCCGAGGAGGCAGCGGCAGCAGCAGTGAGGCCTGAGGACCCATCCTATGCCCTGGGCTCTTCCATCCACTATCCAGACCTCTTCTACAGATGCCTGGCCTCCTCCATCTAGTGCCTGAACACTCCCCATTGATGCCTGGGCTTCATCTGTGCTGGAGAGACTGCCAGCTGATGAGACAGATCCTGTGTCTGCAGTGGAGTCAGACCTTCCCAGTTGGGGCCTTCCTTGACCCATGGACTGTCCAGTGTGGGTCTTCTGTCCTGGGCTCTTAACAGAGTCAGCCATTGGCTTTGCACAGTCTGTGGGAGCCCACTGGGCAGACCTTGCACCTGCCCTGACTTGCTGCTCTGCATCTCATTGGCTCCCATATCCCCAAGTTTATCCTCAGTGTTTCCATTTGTGGTCTTATGAGTGTGCCTGGGCCCTTTCCTTACACCCTCACCCTGGAATAGAGTTCTCACACTGTTGTCCAACTTTGCACACATGTCCTCATGGATCTTTGATTCTGTCCCTCCATCTGGGTGCATAAGTTTCCCTTTGTCCTCAACCAGTTCTGCCACCATCACGTGGCCCCCACAGTTCACTAGTAGTTCTCGTGTGTATTGTCATGCAGATACCATGGCTGCACTGGTCAGCTACACCCTTGTCTCCTTGTGTATGTCATCCTTCCCTGTGTGTAAACATCACACCATCCCTGTTACACTGGACACTAACACATGTGTGTTTAGCACACCAGGATATGTTCTCTTGGCTGGCTTCCTATTCCCCACCTGCCTCTAGGAGGCCAGGGTGGGGGTGCTGCTAGGCTGCCTGAGTGTTCGTCTTGTGAGTAACTCCCAGGCCTTTTACTCAAGCTGCACATAATGAGTCATTAAAGTTTGTCATAGAAGTTGGTGGCCTTCTGCTTGCTTCTGTCTGTGGCCTGGGGCTCCTGTTCTACCCCTCCATTGTCTCCATCCCCAGCATTGGCAGATTCTACTTTTCAGGTCCATGCCAGCCTGCTCATTTTGTGGGCAGGGTCACATTTCCCTTGACTCCTCCCAGAGACATTGGCCATCTGTGCAGGCATCACCTTACCTGCCACAGTGCCAGGTAGGGGGCCCTCAACCTTGCCTGGCCCCATCAACAGTGCCCTCCGGTGCAGGTCACTGAAGCCAGCAGGACATGAGTGGCTTGAGTGGTTCAGGACCCAGAATACATCGTGGATGTGTGGATGTCTGAGACCCCTCTTCTAGAGTGAGGATGGTAGCCTCCAGGAGCAGCAGGCCTGGCACACTGACTGGAAGAGGTGCCCCTTGGCTTTGAGAGCTAGGATTTCACTCCCAAACATGTTTATTGTGTGTGCAGGAGGGAATAGGAGTCCATCATATGGGTCCTGGAGATCGAACTTGGGTCATCGGCCTTGTCAGTTAGCTACTTTACCTGCTGAGCCTTCTTACTTGCTACCAGAGTCCTTTCTATAAGGAATTTGCTGTAGTTCTGCACACCTGTGTGGAGGTCAGAGGCCAGCTTTCAGGACTGGGCATGTGCTTGTACCTGGGAATTGAACTCAGGTCCTCAAGCTTGGTGCCAAGCGCCCTTACCCGATGAATCATCTTGCCAGCCCACACTATCATTTTATAACTGATAGAAATATCCTGTCTAATGCTAGACACCTAGGTAGTGGCCCTGTCCGGGATCTGAACCCAGCACCGAGCTTATGCATCTCCCTGGTGGCACTGTTTTGAAGAGGTGGGTGTGAAGGGTTCAGGCTGGGACTGGCTTGCCTCATTGTCCTAGTGCAGGCCTAGATCCATTCACAGCCAACAAGCACTTTCCTGGGCTCTGGATAGTCCACAAAAGAGAAGAAACCCCTTGCCCCAGTAGTCTCATGATTAAGACAATAAGTATGTAAAATATGTCAAATACGCACTGTGCAGCTGGAAGACAAAGTAGAGAAGGGTCTAGGTTTCCCCAAGAAAGGGGAGTTGTTTAAATAAAGTGGACAGGGGAAGTCTCGTGGTGGAAATAATATTTGTGTACAGATTCAAAGAAAGCAAGAAATGATCTCTAGGGAGGATGGTACAGTGGGCACAGTCCTGATGTGTGTGGGTGATGGGGAGGGCAGGCAGGAGGGAAAGTGAGCCAGGACCCAGCCAGGACTGTGGACTCTCTGAAATAATGGGTATTGTAGGAGCCAGAGACAGGGCTGTGGGCGTAGGGAGGCTGAGGGGCCCCACTTCAGTGGGTGACTGCCTGCTGACGCCTCTGGGGCTTCCCAGGCCTAGCCCCGCCCCTCGGGCTGAAGCAGGGGCGGGGTCAGGAACCAAGCGGTTCCGCCTGGAGGGAGGGAGGGTCTAGAAGCAGGTGGCGGACTGGTGGCCTCTGCCGGCTGGCGCTGGCGAGACAGTGGTGGCTCGGCCTGTAGGTTTGGAGACCCAGCTTCCTCCTTTCCCATCGGTGCCTGGCCCTCGATGCCTGCCAGACTTTTGCCTGTACCAGGGCCCCCGCCTGACCAGCCTCCCACTCCAGACTGATTGGGGAGTCGGGGGCTGAACTGTTTGGGGGCCTGGTACCAATGCACTGCCGGGCCTTTCGGAGCCTGGCAGGAGCCCTCTTTACCCTCCTGTGCGTGGGACTCCTGTCTCTACGATACTACTCAAGCTTGTCCTTGCGGATGGCACAGGACACACTCAGACTTAACCAACCGAACCCAGGGTCCCTGGAACTGCAGCTGGGCGACATCTTCATCGCAGTCAAGACTACCTGGGCCTTTCATCGCTCCCGCCTAGACCTGCTGCTTGACACGTGGGTCTCCAGGACCAGGCAACAGGTGACAGGCAGGCCACCTTAGGGCCTGAGAGAGCTCCTAGCTGAGGGGTTCACAGGGGTCTTCCTGATGGTTTGGAAGAAGCTGCCCACTGTGGAGTCCTTCTGGGGTCTCTTTCCACTCAATCTTTCCTTCATGCCCACCCCCATTGCCACCCTCCAGGGCTCCTCAGACTCATACGTCTGTATCTGTTGGGTTCAGTGTGGGGCCCTTGTTCTAGGCTTCTCTGTCTTCTTAGGGCACCCCCTTCTCCTAGATTCTTGGCCCTAACTTGCCTCAGGGTGGTGGTGGATATTAAGAGTCCATAGGAAGGTGCAACCCACCAGACCTGAGTAGTTGCCTACCTCGGCTCTGAGCAAGTAGCAGGGGTATGGTGTGGCGGCTGCTGGGGAGATGTTGAGGTGTGACCTGCTTGAAGGAGGCTTCCTCTCAGTTCCTGCCCCACTGAGCTGCTAAGGGTGTGAGGGCAGTGTCTAGCCTCCCGGTTTCCTGAACTGCCACTGGGATACAATGGCTAAGGCAGAGTGGTCAGGAGGTCAAGGTGAGCTGGAGATCTGCCTGGCTTGTGGAATATCTGTGTGTGTGTGTGTGTGTGTGTGTGTATACATGTGCTCACACACATGTATGCTAAACACAGTCATAAGAAAGTGTGGGTAAAGAGTAGTTCCTGGAAGCAGAGCCCTCCTCCCCATACTCAAGACCCCATCAATCAAAGCCAGCGATGGGGGTGTTTAGACCACCTCAGGAGAGGAAGAAGTGGTCTCATGCACCTGTGCACACATACTGGTCCCCATTGTGACTGCTGGCTCTGTGGGAGGAAGTGACTGAGCCCTTGGAGGGAAGGCCAAGGAGAAGAGGCAGTTCAGTGAGGGAGAGGTGGGCCCTCTTCCTTGCTTCCTGGCTCAGTGTCCGGCACAGGCATGAACTGTTTCCCAGTAGAGTTCCCTGCACCTCCAGCCCCCACCCCCATACAGTTTTTTTTGTCTTGAGGAGAGTGTGGTTCCTCCTCGGAAGCCAGCAGGGCTGGCCCTCTGTACAGACCTTCCTGTTTTTGGAGCTGTGTCTGAATGCGCCAGGGAGCAAGACTTCACGTGGTCCCCGGCGCTTTCCTGTCTTCTCACCATGATGTGCCCTAGCCCCAAATGAGGAAACTAAGGCTGCAGATGAGGACAGGCTGGCCAGAGTCACCCAGAAAGGCACAGTGGGATTCCCTCCTGCTTCTCAACTGGGCCCCTTTCTTTTCTGGGGTGGGGGTAGGGGGCAAGCCAGAGCTTCCAGGGTTACTGGAGTGCTAGTCCTGGGCTATCAGCTCAGGTGTTAGTGCCTGGCAGAACAAGGCTGACCACCTGTCAGCTCCTCTAAGGGCTGCAGTCAGGGACACAGCACCGCTCAACCCTGCTAACCACTTGCACAGCAGGCACTGACTTCCCATCCACAGTGAGGTCAGGTGGAGGCAGGAGAGGCATTGGAGCCCAACCAGAGCAAGGGAAAAGGTTCCTGAAGGATGGTAGGATGTAAAAGGTAGGTGAGAGACAGGGAGACCTGTTCCTTACTTCTAGGCTTATTTCTTCCCGTGATCTTGGCTATGGACCCGCAGTTTCCACATTTGCACAATACAAGTGTGTCTGGAAACAGCCCTAGTTGGTTAACCCCAGTGCTGGGCACCCAGCTGGTTAAAGGTGATAGGGTGACAGGTGGCCCCAGCTCAGTGTGCTGGGATGGACTCGTGTATGGCCTTTGTCTGGCAGAGGGGGTGGGCGGGGAAGGCTGTTTTGTGTGTTTTGAGCTTGAAGGAGCCTTTCTCCCTCCAGTCCCTCCCAGAAGGGGGCTGGGCAGGGGGAGATGGCTTCAGTCTCCTCTCCCCTTCACTGCAGCAGATGGTCCCTGCACCCCCGTTACATCCCCCCCCCCATGCCCCAGCAGCCTGCCAGCCTGCAGCCTCTTTGTTTCCCAGTCTAAGGAGCTGTAACTAACTATTGTCTGGCTCTCTCACTTAAATAAATCAAATGCAGCCTGCTGCTTCTACCCGCTATCCTATGCTCCCAAGAACTAAAACCACAGGCTCTTGGGCCTTCTCCCACCCCAGACTCTGGCCTGGATCTTAGTCCTTTCCTTAACTCTGCTGCACCTCCCACCCCACCTTAGCAAACATTCTCAGCCTGTTTGTCCCATGCTCTGGACTTGGGTGACTTCTGCTACCCCATGACCGCTTGGTGAAAAACGGTTAGGCAAGAAAGCCCCCCTCCCAACCCCCCCCCCCCGACTCCTTGGCTAGCTTCTTCTGGAGCTGTGTTGCGAGTAGACTTGGGTGAGGGCAGAATGCAGTCAGAGGCCAAGGAAGACAGACAGCCTGGCGACCCAGGAGAAGGGTTGGGCCTTGGGTCTTGGAGACAGAGAAAGACAGAAGTCAGGATAGTGTGGGGGATGAGATGAGTGGGCAGACCACATGAGGCACAAGGGGAAGAAAACGGGCACTGTGACACTAAGGCTTTGGGACCAGCAAATGGGAAGAGGGCACAGCTGTGTGGAGGGTGGGGGGGGTCACCTTTTGATGCTGGCCATGGAATCCAGGACCTCATAGGGGCAAGTGCATTGCCTTTGTGTGTGTGTGGGCCCCCTCCCCCCAAGTGTTAGAGATTGAACCCAAGGCCTGAGCATGCTGGGAAAGTGCTATGCCACAGCTCCAATGCTGGCCCTTGCTTGTACTTTTTAGGGGCTCAGTCCTGATGTTCCAGCATCCAGGGAAAAGATATTGTGACAGAGATTTTAGAAGCTGAGGCTCAGCAGGAGGCCAGGCCACAGGTGTGGAGAGGGGCTCCAAGGTCCAGGCCATACTACTGTGTGTGGGAGGGGTGGAGTGGAAGACACCAGGCCTAGGCCACTCCAGAATACCCAGGGCTCTGCTACCAGCTCAACGTGACAGGCAGAGGCAGATGCCAGGAAGAAGGCTAGGAAGGCCCTGAGAGAGAGCCAGGACCTGGGACACTGGGGACAGACAGATCCTTATCTTCTGGCAGGAGGGACTGAGGAGAAAGTGGGGTCTAAGAAGAGTACAGGGGGACTCTGGGACAGGTGTCAGGGAAGGTCTTTTAGGGGGAGGTGCTAGAGTTGGCAGTTTGAGGTTCAAAGAGCTCAGAATATGCAAAAGGCATGTCCCTAATGTGTTGGGATAACTGAAAGAAATCTGAGTAGAGATCCCCCAGGGGTAGGGCAGGAAGGGCTGAGGTAAAGTCACATCAGGTGGCAAGGGTCAGATGTCTCTTCCTTGACCACACTTAACTCCTCCTCACCCCATATACGGGTTTCTCTGTGTAGCTTTCTAGATCTGCCTGCCTCTGCCTCCTGAGTGCTGGGATTAAAGGTGAGTGCCACCACTGTCCAGCCACATTTAACTTTTTTAAAAAATGTGTTTATTTTATGTGTATGGGTGTTTTTGCCTGCATGTAGGTCTGTGCATTATATATGAACAGTACCCACAGAGGGCATTGGATTCCCCATGTGGCTGCTGGGAATTGAACTGGGGTCCTCTGGAAGAGTAGGCAGTATTCTTAATCACTAAGCCATCTCTCCAGACCAGACCACACTATCCTAAGGGACATAGGGAGTCATGGATGACATTAACAGGTGGGTATGGGTGCTATCTATCTGATCCTGAGAGGACAGTAGGTCTGAGGGTCAAGGCAGAGTGGCTCAGAAGTAAACTTGTAGTCATAGGCCTTGGGAGAGAGGCCTGGTCCCTCATGCCCTCTTTCCCAGTGCCCTGCCCCCGGCTTTTGGCCTCCTGTGCCCGTTCCCTGTGAGCTGTAAGAAGTAGAGCCTGCCTTCCCTGTCAATTCTAACTTCCTGTCCACTCTCTCTTGTCTTACATGAATCTCACTTTGTTCATACAGATATTTTACTCTCCTACTCTGCAGATAGGTAAACTGAGGCTCAGGACAGGGGCTGTTTTGGTTTGTGGTGTGAAGACATTGTGGGTCTGTGACTGGAGGCCTGGTCTTAGAGGGATGATAAAGGAGGTCATACAGGCCTGGGGGCAGTTGGGGGTGGGCATTCCAGAGGTCTTGAATACTGAGGGGAGAGGCACACTGTTTTCTTAGCCCTTGCTTAGAAGAGGTTCAAAATTGTTCGAAATGCTGGCAGAACAGCCCAAGGGTCAGGACACCACCAAAGGCCTTCAAGATGTTTTGTGATAATGTGTTATTTGGGCAGTAGGGAAGTTCTGTATACACTGGGCTGGGCTAGCTCTGGGGTGGGGGGGTGACATATTGCCTGCCTGCTTCCACTCTGTCTTGCTTATAGGAAGATTCTGGAGGTTTTGAAGCTGGCTGGCTTGGAGTTGGTATTTGGTTGACTAGTAGATTGATTCTCACCCACCTAGGGGTGGCAAGTAATGTCCCAGTCATGCCAGGTTACATGAAGCCAGTACATGAGGATCGTCACTAGTTTCAGGACAGTTTGGAGTTATGTAGTTGAGTTCCAGGTTAGCCTGATCTATGGTATGAGACCTTGTTTCAATAAATAAGCAAAATAAGAAATAGTCCAGGTCTGAGTGGAACCCCACTCAGCTCATCTTTAAAAAGCCACTGGAGAGGAGGTGTGAGTGACCCTCCCGACTCATGCCCAATCTGAGAAAGCAGAGATCCAGTGTGTGAGGCTCCTGGGGTTCTCAGGGGCCTCTGCACTTGGACAAGGGTTTGTGGTTGTATGGTGTGGCTGTTCCCTAATGGTGTGGTATGTGAGGTTGTGGTGGGGAAAACCCTTCAGTTTGTACACACCTGTGAGTTAGGGTTAGGTTTGCTTTCTATGCTGTGATAAACACCATGACCAAAAGCAACTTGGGAAGGGCAGGGTTTATTTCAGCTCACAGGTTACAGTCCATCCTGAAGGAAGGCAGGGCAGGAAGGCAAGGCAGGAACCCAGAGGCAGGAGCTGATGCAGAGGCCATGGAGGGGCTGCTTACTGGCTTGCTCCCTATGGCTTGCTTAACCTGCTTTCTTTTCTCTTCTTCTCCTTCTCTTCCTTCTTTGGTTTTGTTTGTTTTTTGAGACAGGGTTTCTCTGTGTAGTCTTGGCTGTCCTGGAACTCACACTATAGTGTAGGCTGGCCTCAAACTCAGAGATCCTCTTGTCTCTGCCTCCGGAGTGCTGGAATTAAAGATGTGCACCCCCACTACCTGGTTTACAGCCTGTTTTCTTATACAGCACAGAAGAGGGATGAGCCAGCTAAGGGTGTGTGGCCCTGGAGAGCAGACACACATAGGGTGGTTCAAGCTGGAGTTGTGTGTCCTTGAGAACTTAGATGTACGTGAGCATGGGGGGGGGTATCTGAGGACAGAGGACAGAAGTCTGCAGTCTCTGTGTCCCCGTGTGTGGCTTAATCTGGGGTGTGGCCTTGGTGGGCTGTGGCCTCCCTCCATAACCTATCTTGATGCCTCCTTCTCCCCACAGACCTTCATCTTCACGGACAGCCCAGATGAAAACCTCCAGGAGAGACTGGGTAACTCCTCAGCTGGGGCGGTGGTCCTCCACTGTGGTCAGGAAAAGCAGCGGGGCTGTGATGGGATCTTGGGGTCCCCAGGAATTATGTCTCCTACCTTTGTCATTGGGGACTACCTCCAGAAGCAGAGTAGGTGTAAGAGGCTGCTGCCTCAGTTCTCCTGGGAGGGGATGAGCCCTCAGGCTCTCTGAGGCCCAACCTCGTCCTATGTTTCCAAGGGTCAGTGTTATGGGGGGGTGAGGGGCTGGGCAGGTCCCATGACTTCTTCCCATTTCCAGGTTCCCACCTTGTGGTCACCAACTGTTCTGCAGAGCATAGTCACCCTGCTCTATCTTGCAAGATGGCTGCAGAGTTCGATGCCTTCTTGGCCAGTGGGCTCAGGTCAGTGTTGCAGGGTCACTGGGGCTGGAGTGACTTTTGCCTCAGGCCATCTCTTTAACTTTTTTGTTTTGTTTTGTTTCCATTATTTTTTTGGAGACAGGGTCTCACTATGTAGCTCTGGCTATCCTGGTACTACTCTGTAGACCAGGCTAGCTTCAAACTCACAGAGATCTGCCTGCCTGGCTTAGTTTTTTAGAATTACACTTGTTTGTTTGTTATATTTATTTATCTGTATGTGTCTTTCTGTGTGTATACATGTGTTGGTGTATGTATGACGAAGCATTGTATGAAAGTCAGAGGACAACTTTTGGGAATTAGTTCTCTTTTCCATCGTATTTCTGGCAGGTGCCTTTACCCCCTGAGTCATCTCGCTGGCCTCAGACCTCCTTTTGAATTGAGTGTTCTGTTGAAAAGGTGGAGTGGTGGAGCTGAGGAGATGGCTCAGTAGGTAAAATATTTACTGTGCAAAGCCCAAGGACCTGAGTTTGATACCCAGTACCTACCCCAAATCACATACTCATGCTTCTAACCCCAGTGCTAGGTAGTATAGACAAGCAGGCTCTGGGGCTTGCTGGCCCCATGTACTCTGCATCCTCCACTGATACAATCTGTTTATCATAGATCCTTCCTCTGGGTCAGGGTTCTCAACCTTCCTGATGCTTTCACCCTTTAAGTCATTTCCTCATGTTGTGGTGACTCCAACCATAAAATTATTTTCATTGCTGCTTCATAGCTGTAATTTTGCTACTGTTATGAACCATAATGTAAATGTCTTATATTTCTGATGGTCTTGGGTGACCCTGGTGAAGAGTTGCTTGAACCTCAGAGGGATTACGCCCCACAGGTTGAGAACCACTGCTCTAGGCCCTAGCACTGAGCTCTGTTTATCATCCAATAGAATTCATTCTTATTGCAAAGGTCACAGGTTTTGCCACTTTGCTAGGGAGTTTCGATGAAGCTCTCTCTGCCTAAAGCTTTGTTGTGATGATTGTCACATGGTAATCTTTTCCCAAAGTTTTACTTTGCTTAAATGTGTAAGAAGAGTAAACCATGAGGTCGGACTCTGGAAGATTTTGACCCAGTGCCTGCAAAGATGGCGTTGAGTTTTATTCTTCACCTTTCATCTACCCTGACAGCTATCCAACCTGTAGTAGTTATCTCTTGATTGTGGGAGCCCAGGAACACAGCCTTTCCACAAGTTCATTGTGGCCCCACCCCCACAGGTGGTTCTGTCATGTGGATGATGACAACTATGTGAACCCCAGGGCACTGTTACAGCTGTTGAAGACATTCCCGCGGGACCTTGATGTCTATGTAGGCAAGCCCAGCCTGAACCGGCCCATCCACGCCTCTGAGCTGCAAGCAAAAAACCGCACGGTATGCCCCTTCCTCCTTTTCCAGTTGGTTCTTGCTCTCAGGGTGGGCTGGTACTAGGGGCGGGACCTATCCAGGAGGCGGGGCTTGATTGCTTAATAAGGCCTGGGTCATCCAAGAGCCCTGGCTTGGCAAGTTCTGCTGGGCTTTCTTGACTCCATCCATGGCCAAGCCCCCAAGCACCTGATATCAAGCATGGATTTGTATAGGATCTTAAAACACAACAGTTTTGGGCTGGGGCTGGAGCTCAGTTGGTAAAGTGCTTGAGGTGCGAAGCCCTAGGTTTGATCCCCAGCACCATGGGGTGCATGTCTATTACCCCACCACTTGGGGAGGCTGAGGCAGCTATAGCTGATTCAAGGCCAGCCAGGGTTACATAGATGATTCTCAGGCCAGCCTGGGCTATAGAGTGAAACATACCAAGTTATTGCTGGGCCAGGGCTGTAGACCCCCTAACTTCTTCACTGCCCAGCCACTGAAGCGTGGACACCAGGAGCTAGGGGTCCTAGAATCAGTTACACTGTGGAACCCTACAGTCATACGATGTTCACTATGCCAGGTTAGAAAACAAGCGAAACCTGGGAGGACTGGGCCATGCTTCTACCAGACACCAGATAAATAAAGAGGTTTTGCCTCTAATGGCACCGTTCTTTCCTGCCCCCAGTCTGCCTAGTTTCTGGAGCTCGGGTAGTAACCCCAGGGTAGGAAGAAGGCAGGGAGGAAGAGGCCTGCTCCCAGGAGGCCCTGCTTGGAGCAGGAGCCGATGCTTGGGGCTTCCCCCTCTCCCAGGCCACCATCTGCTGCTCTGGGGAAACTGGAGCCTTAATTATCAGTAACTCATCAGTCGCTGAGCCCTAATTAAATCTTCATGGGCCCCAGGGTGTGCATGCATGTGCCACTCCAGGTGAACCGAGGGGTGTCCCCAGCCTCCGCTCTGACTTCCCATCCAGATTGAGCCTCTCTGCTTCCAGGCCTGAGGATTCCAGGCTGGAGCAAGTCTCCCTGGGTTCATATGGCAGCCCTGTCACTCCTGGCTTGGTGACCCTGATTGAAGTTGAGCAACCTCTTTGTGTATCAGTTTCTCTTCTGTGGAGCAGGGTTAGAGGACAGCCTGGTCTACAGAGTGAGTTCCAGGACAGGCTCCAAAGCTGCAGAGAACCCTGTCTCAAACAGCAACAGCAACAGCAACAACAACAAAAAAAAAAAAAAAAAAAAAAAAAAAAAAAGAAAGTAAAGAAAAGGCCTCACAGACTTGCTTACAAGCCAATCTAATGGAGGCATTGTCTTAATTGAGGGTCCCTCTTCCCAGTTTCCCAATTATCTCTAAGTTGACACAAACTAGAGTCAAGTTAACCAGTGCACCCACAATATGCATGATGCTCTCCTTGGAATATACCACCAAAGGGAGAGTCCCTCACCCCCTATTCTGTCTTGGAATGTTCCAGAACCCCAGAGTGCCTAGGCCAATGCAGAGCCTGGAGTTATTCAGGGTTAGGCAGCAAAGGGAAAAGAGCTCTGGCCTGGCCTTGGTTCCTGCTCTGTTCTCTGAGGCAAGTGACCTCAGTCCTCTGTTCCCTGTTCGGTGCGCTTGGGGTACAGTCCTTACACAGCCCTCAGCACAGGGCCAGGCACAGGGATTGCTCAGATTGAGGCCCTTTCAGTTGCTATAATTACACAGGAGTGGGATCCACACATTTGTTTTTATTTATTTATTTAGATTTATTTATTATATATATAACATTCTGCATCATGTATGCCTGCACACCAGAAGGGGGTGCCAAATCTCATTATAGATGGTTGTGAGTCACCATGTGACTGGGAATTGAACTCAGGACCCCTGGAAGAGCAGCCAGTGCTCCTAACCTCTCAGCCCTCTCCAGCCCTACACTTGTTAATTTTAATAAAGCACACATTTATTAAACACTTCCTGAATGCTCATTCTGCCTCTTGGAACTCTAAACTGTCTCTAAATGACATTTGTAGAAGTAAATTAGAAAGGAGCATCTGTGCTCCCGAGCCTAATTGAAAGCCTAGGCCCTGGAAGTGGCTCCCTTGAGGTCCCACAGCTGGGCAAAGGGGGAGATGGAGACTTGGAACTCCTCCTAGGTGTCTTTCCACAAAAGTATCATGGGGAAAGCTCAGCCCAGTACAAGATGCATTTATTAAGCACCGACTGCTTGCTTGCAGGAAGGTTTGGGGACATGGTGGTATTTTTAGACCAAGACATGAAATTGCAGAAGGGAAAAGTTCTCCCCAAGGTTTGGAGAACCCACAGGTGAATTCAGGGTCATCACGAGAGAGCTGGGAAGAGACTGGGGCTGAGGTGAAGGTGGTGGAGGGGTCAGAAAATGGCGGAAGGGATGCTGCCCTTTGCTGGATGGAGATGTCAAGGTGCTGCCTGTCCACAGGTGCTCCCAAGATTGTCCCCTCTTTACTCTAGTGTGGCTTCATGCTCTTTATCATTCTTGGGGCAGGGAAGGTGAGAGTAGGAGGCTTGGTGTAGCTGACATTAGAGAACACTGCTCCTCAGGCTAGTGACCCTGTATGGAGGCCTCTCTGCTGTAGTCTTCCTAGAGCACTTTGGGAAGGGATCTAATTGGCTGGCCTAAGTCATGTGCTTATTGCTAGGCCAAGGGGCCCAGTCTTGTAATTTATTCTAGAAGCACCTGGCCACCTCTGTGACCTAGGGGAGACAGTACTGGGTTCCCCAAAGGAAGAGGGTAAAATGTCACATGTCTCTCTGTCACTACCACCCCTAGGATCCCTCTCCTATGGGGGCCTACAGAGATGTCTCAGACCAAACCCTTCGTCTTCAGGAAGCCAGACTCTGGTTTGGAATGCCCCTGTGGCCTCACCACTCATAATTACCTGTGTGACACTGGGCCAGGCTCTAGCCTCCAGTGAGGTGTGAAGCACAGAGCTTTGGGGTCATGGTGGCTGGGGGGAAGGGGCAGTCCAGCTGGTGCCCCTGAGTTCCCTGGGCTCACTGCCCATCTCTGCTGTCCTTTTTCCAGAAGCTGGTACAGTTCTGGTTTGCCACAGGGGGTGCTGGCTTTTGCATCAGCCGCCAGCTGGCTTTGAAGATGGTGCCATGGGCCAGGTAAGCAGAGACTTGGGAGTGGTAGGAGGGTGGGAAAGGCCTTGAGGTGGGAGGGGCAAGAGAGTCCCCAGGGGAACTGCCTCTTATTCAGTTGTGTCAGTGCAGCCTAGGCCTGTGGGGAACATTTCTGTCGTCAACATCTAGGGAGTGTGGTTCACTTAACTTCCCCATGTATGAATGGAACTGAAAATATAGTGGCCAATGGCATTGCAAAGACTTAGCGGAAAAACATCTGTGTGGACACCATCTGCAGCTCAGGGGAACCCATTCTTATCTTCTGACAGTTGATGTTTATGGGGTTAAGCACGGAAGCCCTCAGAGATGGGGGAGAGGGACTATTGACTAGGGACAGGAGGAAGGCTTCCTGGAAGAGGTGGCGTTGTATCTGAGACATCCCTGTAGGCCCCCCACAGGAGAGGGACCCTGGGAGTATTGGGGGTGGGGGGAGTACCACCATTCTGAAGGTAGCTGAGAATGGCCTTTTCCCAGGCTGACGTCAGTGGCCATGAGCTTGCATGGGTCTTTGCCTCAAGTTAGGCTGTGCTTCATCAGGAGGACTGTAACAGCAGGGAGGGCAGTGCCACTTTTAGAACCCTCATGAGAGGTTACAAACCCTAGGTTACCCAGGTTCAAGGTCATCCAGCTGCTCAGCCACTGTCCCTGCTTGCCTTTTGTTTTCCAGAGGATTCAGTATGTCAGCGTCATCGTGTGGCATGGTGTCCCTAGGGCAAGCCCAGAGCAGTCACATACCTGTCGTCTCTATGACTTGGGTGCTCTGGTGTGTTTTGCCCACCTCTGTGGTACCGATCCCCATCTAAATTTGCACCTGGGGTACTCTCAGGTGCCCACCCCACCCTGACCAGTTATCCTGGGGGAAAGGACATTGATAGCCCAGGACAGTCAGGAGTTGTTTCCTGGGACACTGGCTGATGTCACTGGAAACCTACTGCTGCCTCTGGGAAGGCCACATTTTCTCCCCAGCCCCCCCAAACCACATGCATCCCTCTGCCTTGGCTCCAGCCTCAGTACCCCAGTCTGTGGCAGGCAGGAAGCACCTCTTTCTCATGTCTGGGTTCCTCATTGCTAGTGAGGTACAAGGAGCCAGGGGGTGTCAAGCTGAGCAGTGAATCTGAGTGAATGAATGAGATAAAAAGGGGAGAAGAAAGGATACATTTAGCAGGGCTCCTCACCATTCCTCTACCCAGTCCTTCTAGGACCTTCTAGGCAAGGCTGCTGTCAACCTATTTCTCAGGGGAGGAGCCTGAGACTCCCCAAGTTCCAGACTTGCCCAGTGTCCTAGTGCACTGTGCTGGTCCAGCACTGGCCCTTCCGGGAGGTGGGAGGGGACTCAGCTGTGCAGGGCCTGGGTCAGTGGCCACCGCCCAGCTCTGTGTTTCAGCGGCTCCCACTTCGTGGACACCTCCGCTCTCATCCAGCTCCCTGACGACTGTACTGTGGGCTATATCATTGAGTGCAAGCTGGGGGGTCACCTGCAGCCCAGCCCCCTTTTCCATTCACACTTGGAGACCCTGCAGCTGTTGGGGGCTGCCCAGCTTCTGGAGCAGGTGAGCCAACTGCAGAGCAGAGGGAGCGGGCAAGGAAAAAGGGTCTCCCCAGGGGAAGGTTGGGGTACTTGAAATCAACCTGGAACTTGAGCTTATGGGGCTTGGCCATCACATACTGACGGGGAAACAGGGGCCTGGGAGCAGTGCACCCCTTTTAGACACAGTAGCTCAGGTCTCCTATCCCTTCTGTCTGGGAGGACTTTATAGGCATGGGTGATGTCCCCAGGTGTCCCCCTTGTTTCTCTTTCTGCTCTGAACCCTCCATCCTCTATACTGCCCTCCTGAGGAGCCAGCTGGAAGAGCCAGGTGGCCCTTCTGACTCCTGTCTGAAGTCCCCTCCATCACAAGCTCCTGGTCCTGCTCCTGGTCCTCAAAGCCCTTAATGAGTGATGAATAGATGATTAAACTGCACCTGGCAGGCCATAACTGCTCTTGGGACAGACTGACTTGGCTTGCAGACCTGCCTGCCAGCCCCACTGCCTGGCCAGAGGGCCTGAGGTTTCCTGCCCTACAGAGTCACATGTGACAGAAACTCATATGAAACTGAGTAGCAAGGAGGGACAGGATCTGGCATTCCTAGATCTTCAGAAACCAGGTCTTGTGGTGCAAACCTCTAATCCAGCACTTTGAAGTAGAGGCAGGAGGATCAGAAGCTTCAGCCCCTGTCTAAATATGAATCTCCAAAGGCCAACCACAAATATTATCCCCATTCTATAAATGGGAAAACTGAGGCCCAGAAGACTAAGCTAACTGTGGCACAGAGTGAGGTGTAGCCAGAGTGGGGACCACCAAGCCATCAATCTTTAGTTATGGCATGTGTCTGCTTCTTAGCTGACCTGGTACAGTCCAGGACTGGCTGAGACCTGCACGGGGCTGTGGAAACCTCCGAGGTAGTCCAGGCACTCAGCTGAGGCGTTCAAACCCGTTAAGAGGGAATTGCCAGTGTCCTGGGCAAGCATGGTTGCTGGAACCATGCAGATGGAGGCAGGAGGGAGCCTTCAGGTTGCAGTGCCTTTGGGGAGGGACTGGGCTCCATTAGTGCAGGAGGCCCAATTGCCGGGCCTCTCTGAAGGCCCAGGGTCTTCTCTGCTGGTGTCAAAATACTCCCCTGTGGGCCACCCCAAATACCTCCCCATCTCCCCCCCCCCAGGTTACCCTCAGCTACGGTGTCTTTGAGGGGAAACTGAACATCATCAAGCTACAGGGCCCCTTCTCCCATGAAGAGGACCCCTCCAGGTGGGTGTGGGCTGAGGTGCAGGGTGGAGGTGGGGACCTAGGCACCTGAAGATGGAAGGGCCTTGAGGGAAAGTGGTGCCACGGGTCATGGTGGCTGAGTACACAGAAGTAGGAGCAGGGAGAATAGGTTTACATTCTCTCTGTGTGACCTTAGGTACGTGTCTTATTCTCTCTGGGCTTTCGTCTCTCCTTTTGTAGCACTGGGGCCCATGGCTGTTCCAAGAGTCCTATGGCCAGGGCTATGGTAAACACACCCCTTTTGAGGAGATAGAATTTGGCTCAGTGTAGGGAAGAAGAAACTCAAGAGCTCCAAGAAGTAAGGGAGCTGCCTTTTTTATTTGTTTTTCCAGACTCTGCAGACCAGGCTGGCCTCTGCCTGCTGAGTGCTGAGATTAAAGGCATTCACTACCACTGCCCTGAAAAGAGCTGCCTTTTAGTGGATCGAGCTGCCTATCAGCAGAGGCATGTGAGCCACAGCCTCAGTTAGTAGATGTAAATATTTTTTTGTGAGCCTGAAGATTCTAGAACTCAGTCAGGGAGCTCTCGGTGTCTTCTCTGGCTTTCAGGTATCTCAAAGGAGAGGCTCTCAAGTCAGGGATGGTTTTGCTAATGTCTGGAGAAAGTTCTGATTGCTACATCCTGGGGGTGCTGTTGGCCTTTCCTGGGTAGAGGCTGGGGATGCCACTGTCCTGCCAGGTATGGGATAGGCCCATGTGACACAGAGTTACCGGGACTGAGTGTTCTCAGTGCCCGTGGGTCAGTGAGGTTGGGGTAACTGTCTTTCCTTGATGGCCTCTTTGCAGATTTCGCTCCCTCCATTGTCTCCTCTACCCGGACACACCCTGGTGTCCCCTGGTGGTGGCACTGTGAGCTCTGAACTGCTGGTGAGGTTGATGGACACTTCTGCCTGACCCCTCCCCCCCAAGTGATCCTGAGGGCTCCTGGTCTAGTGCCCACTGACAGATGGTCCCTGGTAGAACCTCTGGGTGACAGCAAAGACCAGGACCTGGACTGTGGTTGGTGTTGAAGGTGTGTCAGGCCAGGCACCTGGTCACACCATAGAGACTGTGGGGACACTTGAGTTAGGGGTGCTCAGGGTCCTTACTTTCCTGAGAGTGACATGTGCCCTGACTCTGGCCGTAGTCATTCCTTGAAGACCAGTACCATTGGGCCAAAACCAGGGTCTGTGACCTGCAGCTATGGGACTGGTCTCAGCTGCTCGTGGCTCTCCGTACCTGGCCATTGGGCCTGAACTTTGGAAGCTCAGCAAAGCCATATGGATCATGGTGGGTCCCTATCAATTGTGACATACCTTTGGTTTATTGTCCCAGCCTTTGTTGTGAGAAATTACCATATACTCAGTGGGAACTGAGGAAAGCCAATTGAGGCTTCTGGAGTAAGTTTCACAGCCCAAGACTCTTTCTTCATACTGTCAATGTGGGTGTGATGGCTGGATCTGGGGAAGCTCCTTTGCCACCATGAGGGAAAAGCTGTTCTTTCTGAGATCTGATCTGTGAGAAATTAAACCTTTATTTAAGTCTCTCTGTGCCCAGTTTCCTGCCATGGGCAGCCAGTGTTCCTAACTGGACCAAGGACTCTGATCAGTGGTGATAGCCATGTTTGTTGGTGGGATGTGGTGTGTGGCTCAGAGCCTGGTTCAGGGAGAGAGACAACTTGGTGAATCAGGACTATGGCATGCGTTTTTGTGTGTGTGTGTGGTATGTGGGAATGTATTTATGGTATAGGTATGTGAGTTGCAGTACTGGGAGCCCTGCCTCCTTTCCCTGCCCTCAGGGCATGGACTGGGAACCTCATGATATCTGGGAAGTCAGCATGGTGACTCTGAGCTGAGGATTTACCTTGGGTGTCAGCTAAAGGTGGTTGGGTCGATTGAACATCTGAAGTAGAGGTAAAGCAAATACAATGGCCTTTAATATCTGGGACCCAGGATGCTGGATGGGTGAATAAACAGGACCAGGATGGTAGGGCCCTTCAGGGAGGGAAGAACACAAGAGGATAGGGCATGAGGGGACTGGCATCCCCTCTCATCCTGCACAGAGCCCAGGGAGTCAGGCCTGGGCCCTGAGAGAGGTAGGAAAGGAGAGGCATGTGGTTAGAGGGGCCTGACCTAGGGCCCAGCATCCACAATTCCTTTGCCCATGTCCTCTGCCCTTGAAGGACCAGAATGTTCCCAGCACATCTGTGTCTGGTATGTTGGGGATCACCAGATGCCTGTGTCTCAGTCTCCGAGAGGACTTCCTGAACGCCTGATGAGCTGGTACAGACCTCCAAAGCTGCCATCATCCTGGCTGACATGCGAGTGTGATGCTGGCAGAGGGAGGGCCCTAAAACCCAGGTGTGCTGAGGGAGGAGCCCTGTCCATAGACACTGGCCGCTCTTAGAAGCTGCAGCGGGTTTTCCGGTTATTCTCAGATCTGAGGGTCAGGTGATGAGAAGAGAAGCTCCTACCATCTGCTGCCTCCATTGTCCCAGAATAGCTGGGCAGGGAAGAGGGCTGAGTCAGCAGGGTCTACACTAGGATGGAGGGACTGCAGAGTGGGGCTTAACCCTCTGGGATCTGTGGGGACAGTTCTCGAGCTCTTTGGCCCCAAGCTGCTGAGGGACATATTTGAACCCAGAGGCAGGAACCAGGAGTGGGCCTGTAGAAACCTCATCTGTGGCCTGGACTGCTGAGCCAAGCCTGCACACAGCAGGAATGAGTGGCTGTGGGTGGCAGCTGGCCTTTGGATTTGGCAACTGAGGTGGCCCATGACAAGGGGGATAGAGCAGCTTGGTGGCTAATCTTGGTTGTCAACTTGACATACTTGCTTGGAAGAGGGAACCTCAGTGTTAGAATTTTCTCCATCAGACTAGCCATGTCTGTAGGGCATTTCCTGGATGGATAATTGATAGAAGAGGGCCTAGCTTACTGTGGGCAATGCCATTTGGGAAAGTCGCTGAGCAAGCCAAAGGGAGAAAGCCCGTAAACAGTGTTCCTTCATGGTCTCTGCTTCAGTTCCTGCCTAAGTTCCTGTGCTGACTTCCCTCATGGAGTGTGGGGTGGAACTGTAAGTAGAAATAGGCCCTTTCTTGCATAAGTTGCTTTTATTTTGGCATTTATCACAACAGAAAGCAAAACAGGACAGACAGTGCTAGAAGGGTCCTGGGTTTCTCCAGCCAGCCCCCATCCCTAGCCAGGAGCCAGCAGGGAACCAAGTCAGCCTATGCCCCTCCCACACACACCACACCTGAGTTGGCCTAGTGGATCACACAGAACTAATTTAGGGAGCTAGTGATGGGGTGTCTCTGAGGCCTCCAGCTATATAAACCAGAGCAGAGGTCATCTGGAGGACACTGTCAGCCAGGCTCTAGTTTTTTGTTTTGTCTTATGTAGTGCAGCCTGCTGCAAGTTACTATGTAGCTGAGGATGGACTTAAGCTGTTGCTGGGATTATAGGCATGTGCTATCACGCCCAGTTTATGTGAAGATGGTGTGTCTGTGGCAATGTCAAACCCAGAATGTTGTGCATGCTAGGCTAGCACTACCAACTGAGCTACTCCACCCCCCAGTCCTGCCCCCAATTCTAAACATTAACACAAACCAGGTTACTTTAAGTTAACCTGTTTGAAGCAGGAACCATTATTATTCCTATTTCTTAGATTAGGAAACCAAATCATGGGAGTGTGGCTTAGGCTTGCTTGTGAGGTAGCTGATCCATACAGTTGCCTCTATATGGGATGATTTTGGAGGGCAGGGAACCTCTACAGGCCTGGGCCTCATCCTCTAGCCTTTCTTGGGTTCTGTGCATTGGGCAAGCTGCTCCCCAGGGTGAGATGTGCACTGATATCCCTACCATATGAGCTAAGGTAGGCCCAGCACAGGGAGTTGCTTAGTGGGCATTTGCTCTGCAGCTCTCCCCCACCCTCCGTGAGTTCATTCTCTCTAGAGAGAAGGGGTGCGGGAGGACTGAAATGACCATGGTCCTGTCCTCACCATGGGTCTCCAGTTCAGTAGCTCTGCTACTCGGAAGGCTCCTGCCCTTTCTTACTGTCTGCTCAGGGCTCCTCTGCCCAGACTCCCTCCTACAATCTCCTCTGTCCCCACGTAGATAGGTCTCCCAACTCCCAGATAGATCAGCTCCTGATGACTTCTGTGTGTATATGTGTGTGCACCTGTATGTATGTGTGTCTGCATGCATGTGTGTGGTATGTGTGGGCATATGTGAACATGCATGTGTATGTATGTGTATAGATATATGTATGTATGTATGTATATGTGTGTTCATGCAGTGCATGTACAGATTTTTGGGTATATGTGTGTGTTTGTGTGTGTGTGTGTGTGTGTGTGTGTGTGAGTGTATTTGATGCATGTATGTGCATTTGTGTATGTGTGTATGGGGTATCTTTTTCTTTTTTTGGAGACAGGGTCTATCACTGGCCTGGAACTCATTGATTTGGTTAGACAATCTGGCCATTGAGGCTCAGGATCGTCCTGCCTCTTCCTTCCCAGGACTGTAATGAAAAATGAATGCCACTGCCACTTTTTATGGGGGCATTGGGTTTGAACTCAGATCCTTGTTCTTGCAAGGCAAGCACTTTGCCAACTAAGTCATCTCCCCTGCCTTATGTCTCCTGGCAGTGGCTCACTTCAGTGTTTGCTGACTCTTGACTTTAAGTGGTCCAAGCATTTAGGGGTCCTGTCAGCCGTGTTCCCTACAGCGCATACCTTGGTAGATCCTTAGGATGTCTGAGGGATGGACAGCAAAAGGAGGAAGTGGGTTTCTCCCATCCCTCAGGGTTCTGAAGGGTTGGCACCAGGACGGGCATGTGATGGAGCAGGGCTTTATAATGGGTTGGGCTGACCACACCAGCACCCACTCATCAGCGCTGGCATCCTTCCAAAGCGTGTTCCACACATGAGCAGGAGTCCCAGCATTGCTCAGAAGTCACTTACCTTGGCAGCTGTCCCTGGGCTTAAATGACATCATAAGGTTTAATTCATCAAGTCCTCCATGGGGACAGTTGTACAGGATGGAGGATCTGGTATCTTCAACAAGGGAGCTGTAACCACAAGGGAAGAAGAAAGAGATGAAAGGAACTCAGTCCTTGAATCTGGTTTTGATCTTGATTCAAATCAGTGGGCCTTAAAAAAAGATGCTTTTGAGGAAAATGAGGATATTTGAGCAGGGGTTGGGCATTAGGTGGCATTAACGTCTCTACAAGAGACAGTGTTACTGAAGCTTTTTTGAGAAATGTTCTAATATGTGAGAGATGCATTCTGAAATATTTATGGGTGGAATATGTCTGGAATTTTTGTTACAAAGAGGCCTGAGGGGAGGCATAAAATAAGAATGGCAGAGTAGGGGTGGGGCTGGGACTTCAGATCAGCATGCTGGATTCATTATGACATCACCCTCCCTCCCCCATTTTGTTCCCATTTGAAACTTTCTACAATAAAAAGAATGCTAAATAATAAAAGAACATCTATGGGCATTCCATTTCCCAGATGAGGCTCTTCCCCCCTCTCCCCTTCCTCCCTGCCCCACATTCAGGCCCAGAGAACATCTGTTTTCCATAGGCACATCTGCCCTGGCACCCACTGCTGGGGAGGCAGGCTTGCTGGGGCTGGCCCCTTCTGCTCTGCATTTGGCTCTTTGCCTGGTCTCCCAGAGGCTCACCCTGATTTCTTTTGGTTTTGAGCACTGGCTCCAGCTGCCTTATAGGCCAGTGGCACTTTCCCTGGGCACATCCTGACCCCATCCCATCTCCCTCCACCACTCATCCACTAATGTGATTTTACTATTCACCTCTTGGGATGGGCAGATGGAATGTGTGTTAGATCTTACCCAGGGGAGTCAGGTGCAAAACTTTGCTCTGAACATGGGGCTCAGATTCTGGAGGGGACAGTATGTGTTGGTGAGGACATGGCATAGCTTGAAAGTGATAATAAAATGTACCTGGGTGGCATGGAGGAAGGGTGTAGGGGAAGCAGAAACCCAGACACCTGATGTAGAATAGTGTCTGATCTGAGGCTTGAGCCAAGGGGATGTCTGGAGGAGTGGGGTGCACAACACAGACAGGGCTGTGGAGGCCCAGGGGGAAGAGACACACTTCAGTGTTAGCTGAGTGCAGTCACTCCTGTTCTCACACAGATGCTAATGTCATTCAAGAGAAACCAAGTCCAATGTGCCTTGTTCATTGCCCATATTCTATAGATAGGCCCACCCTATCCAGGTGCTGACTATATATTTCCCTCAGTGTCTCTCAGTGGCCAGGCTCATAGCATGCATGAAGACCAGGTGATGTCCAAAGCAGGTGTTCAGTGCCAATTGCAGGTGTCTGCTGAAATGCTCCAGTGGCTGGGAGTGTCCAGTTGGTATGGTGATGCTTACCCACAGGGCATGAGGTGCTGGGTTAGATCCTCAATACTTCATACATCCAGGTGTGGTGGTATATGCCTGTGATCCCAGAAAGTGGAGGTAGGAAGATCCAAAGTTCAAAGTCATCCTTGGCAATGTGGTAGGCTCAAGGCAGTGTGGGCTA